GACACGTATCGTGTTTGCTTTACTGTATATACATACCCTAATATACGTTACAATGAATTTTACAGTTCGTGTCCTGAATTGACTGTCCTTCGTTTCTCTTGTATTATGCGCGCATATATATATATATAGGCTTCGNTATTTATTAATTTGAAATGAAAACTGCCAGTACGGCACACCAAAAAACCATAATGAAGATTTTATAGTAAATAAGTCTTGAGCTAAATTCGATTGGTGGTTGAAAGTTTAAACGACAGATAAGATAAAAAAAAATTTTTAAACCATTACGTCTGATACATGGTTGTTGCCCATACGCTTCGGAGCTTCCAAATCTGACCACTGTATATGAATGTTACATGGTGGTATACACGTTAGCTCGGACATCCGGATGTATACTTATTTCGAAATTTCGCTTGGCAACGCAGCAAATTTCTGCCTCTCTTTCTATCTTCGTGTCATCTTTATCCGATTGAAAAACAATTTATTTTTTTACATTCGAATTGATAAAACGAGTTATGTGTGTATAGACATTCAATTCGTACTTTTCATAGAATTGCATACGATGTACATAAACATGTATGTGTAAATGTGCCGGCTGATCGTATTACATTTAATACCATGTATAATATATTATGTTACCTATACATGTAGGTGCGCGAGCAAAGAACATCGAGACAAGTTTGTCATGTAACGGCTGTTAGACAGAGAGCAGATAAGGAGAGAAACGAGTAATTCCTCGAGTAATTCCATTGGACGTATCCCTGTATACTTTTATGTATAGTAACCCATCCTCTGGTGTGCNGGGTGTGGGTAAGTATATTATAATGAGTATACAGTATAAACACCTGCCTATAATATACCTGCTGGCGCACACAACGCACACTTCATTCGAACGCGCTGGCCTTTTCCGCACTACTTACTGCAGGCTGATGTAGATGTGTAAAACTTTTTCTGTACAATGATACCTACAGTTTTAGAGGTTTCGCATTTGTTTCCTCTCAAAGTTCACTTCATACGTATCGTCGAAATGAAACATTTTTTGTAATTTTAATTGTAAGAAGTTGAATTATTTTTCATAGACTTTTGATTGATTTATTTTTTTCGAGAAAAAAAATAAACAATTAACGAAAATAATAATAAGCGTGGAAATTAAAGCGAGAATTTAAGTATTACAAATAACATGTTGCAGTAGCATGTTACAGGATTGTTGTTTTTTTTTTAATTTTTGAGATTTAGCTTGAATTTTTTTGTTTAAAATGTTCAAGAAAAAAAAAAAGCTAAAAAAAAATGTTTATTCATACAAACATCGTAAATAATATTTTCGTAAATGTAACGAAAAGTTCGTTGGATGGATTGGTCCTAATAAAAACTACGACGTAAAGTATAAATTTTATGTGTTTTCATGTCTAATGAAATGGATGAGTTGTTCGTTTGGTGATTGTTGAACAGCAAGTTATTGTTGGACTTGGAGGTTTAAACATCGTCGATCCTCTCAAAAAAATAATGTTGATAGAGAAAATATGCCTCGAAATATGCCTAATGGCCATAAAAAGTTGAAGAAAATTACTTTCATGAAACTAATTTTGATAAAGTTAAAAGCTTGAATTTCTGATCACCAATAATTAGGCTCAAAATTTAGGGATAGTAAAATAACGTTATAAAAATGCCTAACGAACGATTATACGTCATCATGAAAATTTTTATTTTTTACTTTGGCAAAATATCAAACCAGAGCCATGTATTATAAATATATAATGGTCTTGTGCTGAAAGCAATATTTTTTTCACGTGAAATTTTTGAAATCCTTGAATTTTTATATATTTAAAAATTTAGGTGCAAAAAAATGTATTGTATAAAAGTAAACTCGTAACGGGGAATTTTCTCTGTTCGTGAATTTCAACAAAAGCTTGTAATTTTATACAAAAAGGGATTAGAAAAATAATATGCATCGTGCTTTATGAAAATAGAGAATATATATTTATAATTTGTAACAACGTTTTTTTATCATCATTTGTTCTTTCTCGGAACAAATATTAATTGTGGATGGTAATAAAATGACTGATGTTATTTTTTCAACAATTATCACAATATTAAATAGTTAAAAAAGACAACAAAAAGCAATAAGCCGATTAATACTTATTGTTCAAATTTTGGAAAAAATAAACAATACAACTATCAATTCTCCCTCCAAGCCTCTCCCCATCAAGATATATGCAATCAAAAATTCATTATTAGTCTGATACCTACGTATCATTTATCAGTTGATAATAAGATAAAAAAGTAATCAACGTACAGGAGCTATTAACACGACTGAGGTGTGAAAAAAAATGCATACAGTAACCTACAAAGTTGACTGACAGGGAGTAGGTTCATCTTTTTTAATTTTAGTCATTTTATTGCAGAAAAACATAATCTAGAGTAAAAGAAAAAAATCACGATGACACTTCAAGGGATAAAAGCTCCCCTCGTGTGCGTGTAATTTTTAAGGAGCTGGTGTTGAAACTAATGATATCCACACTTTTCTTATTTTCCTAATACTCAAATTTTTTTTTTAGCCTCAACGATATTCTCACGATTTAGACACAAAAATAAATGAAAATCAGAACACTACGCACAAAACCATGCAAATCCTAATTAAATACTATACACAAGACTGATTAATATTTTAATTAAATCAATTTTTAATTGACAAATAAAATGTTTTTAACAGATTCTCCGTGTAGATCTAGATTAGTACGTAAAAACTGAACGGAAATAAGTAAAAAAATGCATTTTATGTACTAAGTATCTTGTTGCTACATTAAATGCAGGTGATTGGATTAAATCACGCGTATTTTTAACACGGGTTAAGTACATATGAGAAGAAGTATACTTGCTGACAAAGATTTTATTCAAACTCGTAAAAATTGACGTTGAAATTGATACACTTTTATATATGAGAAACCAAAAAAAAAAAAAAAAAAAAAAAAAACAACTTTTGTGCATCGAAAACAAGATTTTCTCCCAATCGTCGTCGCACCTCCTCTCTTGAATATTCATTAGTTGCATGTACCTATTTTATATTAATGGGAGCAATAAACCGCGTTTGCTTTTCAGTTGTACATATGCATGTACTTACTTAAATCGTCACAACTTTTGCATTCGTGTATTTTGTGCGCATTTAATTGTGAGAGATTTGCTGTACCAGAATTTTAAATATCCTGTGATTCACTATTGCGTCAGAAGCAAATTGTCGAATAAATTGTTTTTCTCATCGTCGTCGTCCTTCTTCTTTATCCTTTCATGCACAAGTAAATACTATTTATTAATTTGAAATGAAAACTGCCAGTACGGCACACCAAAAAACCATAATGAAGATTTTATAGTAAATAAGTCTTGAGCGTTGTTTGTAAAAAAAAAAAAAAAAAAAAAAAATTAATAAATAAAACGTTAAATACTTATAGGAAACCTACCAAGCAATTACTTAGAAAAAATAAGGTAAGAGAGAACGAAGAAGCACGAGGCGTGATTGAACTCGACGTGCAAGTTTGCAAACTCTTCATTTTATATTATGTATGAAATTCGCTGTAACTGTACTTACCTATATGTAATCTGTATATATTATATACTTGTTTATTCACATGATGATGTAGAATTCTTAAACTATAAGCATATAGGAAGAGACAGGAAAAGAAAAGACCTGTACGTGGAAGTATGTGTCGACCAAAATTCTTTTTCCTCCACGTCCACGGATATAATTGCGTATTTTGAACTTGGCAATAATAAATGTAGCTTCTTTTTCAACTGTAAGTATCAAAATGCCCCATAGTTGTTTCAAAATTGACGATTATTTGGGAATTGGAGACATCAGCGGTAAGTAACGTAAATATGATAAACACTATACATAGCTTCTGAGTGTGTAGTGAGCAGTTTTAGAAATATTCCGTGATTTTTTATTATTTATATACGCAAAGCTCGATGATCTCATACATATTTCGATTGGAATCGTTTGCGGACCGAGTGTTTCGTCATTTAAGTAGGTATAGGTATATAAACCATACGTTTTTCTTTGGGAGTGTGCGACAAAAAGTAACATTAAAATAAACTTTTAGCTATTTCTAGGTATACTTACTGCATTTATTTCTTTGCTCAACCAATACTTTTTCATCCCATGCACACAAATGAGTATTTAACGACTCGAGCTTGATTGATAAAAAAAATTATTGCATTGCATTTTGCTGGGAAACTATTAAATAGTTTTTAAAAACGAGTTACGGTACGCACACACATACAGGTCACTGTAACACATACCTAATCATTATTTGCACAAAAGACTGATATAAGAATACTTTCCTATACTTAGTCCTATAAGAGAGCATCCCATTGATTAAAACGGTACGAAAGGACCTACCACATAACATATACAGCTATGGAAGCACGTATAGAGGAAAACAAACAACATTACCAAGTGTCCTGACCTATATTTAATCCTCCCTTCGATCGTAGTCCCTATGTACGACCCAGCAAAGGAGCCCAGAAATCCAGGCTCCACTGTTATGTTATGTACCCATCCAGTCCTTGTCCTTTAACGAAGGGCCTGGCCTCTGCTCCAAAACGTTTCGAGCCGGCTGCTCCAAGAAAAGCTGCGAGAGAGAGAAATGAAGCAAGCTAACCCTACCAGCTAGTGGGAGCACGAAAGATTACTTAATCGAGACTCGAAGAATATGTATAAAGTGATAACCCAGAGGAGGATAAGTAAAACAACCCAGTCCTGTCCAGTAAGTATAGTCGTCGTCGTCGTTGTCGGGTGTAAGCGCCATTTTTGCCTTTTCTCTCTCTCGGCAGCGCTGCCGCCGCCGCCTATCTACTCCTCGTCGGCGCGGCTCTCTCAATGTACATATACTTGTTGTATATATATATATATATGCTTCTCTCGGGATACGCGAGGGTGTACGTTTTATCATTTCGTGGCGCTTGTAAGTGTATAAAGGCGAGGTCGCGTGGCGAGATGATAAGAGACTTACCCTGAGACAGGAGGAGCCCACGGCACCGTTTCGCCCTCAAACACCAGCATAAAAAACACCGCTACCGATGATGATACCACTACTTCCTTGTATACTTAAAAAAAAGATAGTGTATGCATCGGCGGTTCTCTCCCTCCACGACTAATTCTCCTGTTATTACGTACACGGAGTAGGCGTTGTTCGCATACGAGTTGGGGGCAGGGATCGCAGGGTGGTGGACTTTGTTCACAGAACCTCCGCGGTTGCGGCAAGATTGCACTGCCTGATAACAACACCCCACGGATACACCAACAACACCACTCTCACGCACAACAAACTTGTGTACACGTAGTTTGGCCCGGGCTTCCAGCTATATATAGAGGTCTGAGGTGGAGAGGAGGGTGTCTCAGCGTCAAAGGACGCCCTTTACGCACACACACCGGACGCTGCCCTCTTTTTGTTGCGGTCACCGGCTGCGGGAGCAGCAGCAGAAGTCTAATGCGACAATCCTCTCTTCTCTCTCCGCAATGATGGGCTGTTTTGGAGTAGTGTGTGTATATATATATATACGCCTTAGCTCATGCCTTGTTACAGTTGTTACGATCTCGCGATCTCGCCTGATTATTACACCACCACCTCAATGACCTCATGCACGTAATAGTACGTATACACATACAGTACGCACTAACAGTACAGCACACGGTATAACAACTGGCTCTCCTTCAAAAAGAGAGCATGTATATACATAAATCCAGCGGATATTGTCCTTGTAAATCGTTTGCCCTCGGCAGCGGAGAGCTCTCTTCTCCTGGAACAACTCTTTTCTCGCCTTCCTTCGGATACGACCGGCGCGCGACTGCTGAGCTCTCTTTTTTTTTCTCCTTGCGAGTTGCGAGCTCCGATTTGGGAGCGTCTGCGCTGCACATCACCACGCAATACACATCTCTCCTGCAGAAAAGAGGGGATAACTAACACATCTACGCCACGGCGAAGTAGTTCCTTCAGATCGAGGACGAGGACTATTGGATTTTATTTATTAATTTTTTGAGACAAGATTCACTTATAATCGTACAAATTTTTATTCATGCATTTACAGGACATGCACTTAATTTTGTAACATTTTCACGATATCCACATCAAACGCAAAGTTGATAAGTATATTTATTACGATGTTACCACGTTTGGGTAACTGGCGTTTTATACAATTTTACCATGTGATCGCAAACAAATAAGCGACAGATTCTGTATGTAGTAATCATGAATCGATTTTCATATTAATCTGTATCTGCTAATTTGACATAACATATTTAAACCTATTCGAGAGTATTTACAATAAAAACTACAGATTACAGATTCAATCAAGTTAGAAAAATACAACAACGCTTTGTTTAAATACATAAATATGTTTTTTTGAAAATTGGTCCATAACTAATGGGAAAATTATAATAAAGGTATAAACAGCACTGAGTAATACTTATAATATAATCATTATAGAGAAAATGATAACTTTGAAATTATTATTTTCACAGTAATGTTATAATAATAAAACCATGTGGACACCAATGAAAGTGCGTCGAGGTTCTGAAATCTAGCGGTTCAGCGATGATTTGTAATTTACTGTAACAAAAGCACATTCGGGTTTTTTTACTGTCTTGGTTCCACCAACCGGATTTTTGTTGAAAAATCATGATCAGTTGGTTTTCTTCCTACTTGAAAAGCTTACATTATATGCAAGATGAAGTTGGAGTTGGCATTTAAATCATCATTTCGAGTCTTACACTTTGCGCTGACAGGAATAGTGGACAATTTCACCATTGGGATACCTCGCGAAGGCACTGAAAACAATTTTTTTTATACAAAACATCTATAAATTATGATTTGATAAAACACGATTAAGCAGCACAATTTAATAATTTAGAAATCTTTTCTACAGAGTCTGAAAATTCCATCGAAACATTATTACAGTCGAGATGAACTTATTCCTAATAGCAACGAAAAAACGTAAAAACAAAACTCTTACCTTTGCTTGCCAAACCTCTTCTTGCAGACAGGACATATGTTGAACTCGGTCATGAGGACACTTTGTGACTCGTAATGCATGCGCTGCTCTTGCACCTGGAGATGCTCCGCGTACAACAATCCCTTCAGCACCTGCATCTTTCGCTTCTCGTTGATGTTGTTCTGCATGCTTGCCTCGAGAAAATGACGTATACGTCCGACTGGCACCGAATCGGGAAGGGCTTCGATGGCTTTTATCGGTTCGATCTTCGAGGCGTGCTCTTCGAGTAGTTCCAGGGCAGTTTCGAGGTCCGGTAGAGCTGTGCGAGCTTGCTGGGATTCAACGAGTGACGGCAACTCGGTGTCGCTTTCGTTAGGATTCAGGAGCTGTCGAATCAACGTTATGTACACTTCAGCTGCACTGCTGTTTGCCGGCTTACTTTTCTCAGTCTGACTCTGACCTGTCGATGAGATTTTTTTTTTTTTACTCATGATGACCAGATCATATGATTGCAACCAAATTATCGGATCCAACGCAACATATCAAACAAATGAATGAATTCTTACTTTGATATCTAGCGTAAACATTGTTGCAGTACTGTATGGCTTTCGGCACGTCGTTCAACAAGTTGATGTATATCGACACAGCTTGCTTATGTCGACCTAGTCTACCTAGAATAATAGCGCGCTCCTCGTACAGACAATTAAACGGGAAATCCCTGAGTACAGTTTCCGGCGTGTAGTGTTGCGACTTTTCAAGAAACTGTTGCAGCTTTTGGCGGACATGCTGGATATTTTGCTTTTCTGCCGGAGTTGCTGTTGGTGACGTCGCAGCTAGACACCTGTCCTTGTATTGATGCACCAACACGTTGTGGAACAGGGGATTATCGTCTTCCCAGACATGTACCACGTGCTCCAAGTATTGGACTGCCAAATCCTTGTGACAGCGGAGAAGATAGTCAAGTACTTTAGGTCTCGGCAATTGTTCTACTTCCTGATGATTACAATTTCATTAAAGTAACAGGTTGTCAATATTACGAAGAAGAAGCATGAGTTTGTTGTAACTTACCTGCACATCTTCCATAAAGATTCGTAGACCTTCTCCAGGTTCTTGTTCCAGTACCCAGCCAGCAAACTTTAAAATCAAGTCCATGTGGTCTTTACCAAGATGCTGGAGATATTGAATCGTTCTTTCGGTCCCCTTGAGACTTGAATCATTTTCTTTTGCCTGCTCTTCAAGTAGTTCCAGTGCTTTTTTATGCTGGCCTTTGGTTTGGTACAAAATAATTAGTTCTGGATATTTTTGGTGCTGAAGTAAAGTCTTTTCGGCTTCTGCCAGATGGCAATGATTCAGTCTCAACAGAGGCGCAACTAAAGCATCATTTGTCTGAAAAAAGAAAAAAAAAAATCACATTAATACTCTTGAAGTGCTAAAAAAAACTACCGTTGTCCCGAAATTTACCTGCAAATAACACTTAAGCAAAGTTGTGTCTATGATTTTCAACAATTTATCAGTAGCTGTGTTTTTCGATTTTTCAGTTGGAATGGATTTTCCTTTCGACTTTTCGTTAGCTTTAGCTTGACTATCATTGATCAATTTGTATCTGACTTCCGTCAAAAAATCTATGAGAGCCAGCAAACCGCTCTCTAAATCGCGGTCTTGAAGTTTCGGCAACTGCGGTTCAAGATCACTTTGTTCATTCACGTTCGGTTCTTGCGACACAAGATCGGGAAACAGACGGATCACGTCGTACGGGTTGGTGCCCAGCTTTAAAAATTGCTCCATTGCTTCGCGGAATTTCTTGTTCCGAAACAGATGATGAGCGTAATGTGTTTGTATTTTGTATGTTTTCTTTGCTTTTTCTTCCTCTGACAAATCTGACAAGTTCTGTAGCAAAAAATATATATTTTTTTTTTTTCAAGTGGTAAAAATAAAATATTCAAGAAAATCAGTTTTTTAATTGGCAAAACTCACAGTAAGTTTGAGAGCTAGTTGGAACTGACTTTGTTCCAATAATATTCGAATTTGCTGCGTAAAGTCAGTACCACTAATACACCACACTTGGCTTATCGACGCTACGTAAACTTTTCCCTGCTTGCATCTACAAATCAACCGTGCATTGTTGAGATCAGGAATTGTTTGAATATGCATACAATTGTCCAAAGTATAAATTTCCAATGAATTGTGGACTATGCCCAACAAGTAAGGATCGTCCCACACTGAAAATATTAACATGTGATAACAAAAAGGAGAATATTTTTAAAACATTAATGAGTAATGGTTACCTAGGGCTGTTGGTAAGTCGGACCACTTGATGGGATTGTGCTGTATCAATTCGCCTTTGGTATCCATAATAACAGATTGGGAATCTTTTCCCAGAACAAATGAACTATCGGATATTTTAGAAATACTAGGTTCTGGAGATTTTCCAGTTGGAAAGAGTTCTTTGGATTTACCAAGAAAGTCCATCAGAGTGTAAGAAAAACCTCGGAAGCCCAGAACCAACGTTTCTCCGCACCAAGCCAACTCTCTGGGAACATCAGGAACTGACAATTCTCTAGGCATGTCCGAACCAGATGGTTGGAGTAGCTCATCTTTACTGAAAAACTCTTCTGAACCAGCTACTTTTGGACTGAAAAACTCCTCAAAAGACTTAGTCTTGCTTTTCCAATAATACAGCTGCAGTTTTCTCTTTACTGCAACGCACAATCTAACAACAGCTTTCTTTTCTCCAGTCATGGTTTCGTGTCTCTGAATATCCAATGCAAACAACGTAGCTCCCTTCGTTTTTTGCAACTGACCGATTTGATTAAGATTTGTTGAATTCAAATCGTGAATACACACTATGTTATCTAAAATGAAATAATTTTCAAGATTACAAATTTAACTCAAACGTTTTCTGTATTATTATGTAAAGCACATATCTTGTGCATATTTACACCTGTCAAAAGCAGCAACAAGTTGTACTCGGGAACTACTGCAATTTGTACGATACGCTTTTTGCTAAAGTTTTTGCTGTATCTGTAAAGCGATGGACTTTTGTTTTCACCATCTTTTGCATCAGCTACGTTGTACATCAACAAGTGGCCTTCTCTAGTGCCAATCAACAAATAATCATCTAAAAAGTTTGAATGTATTTTAATCAGCTTCGTTATGCTACCTCAAGTACCAAAAACAAACATTCTTCAAGATTCATACCGTAAGCTGTCATGGACTCAATTTGCACTCCAAGCTTGAGCATCAGAGTAGCTCCGTAAGCCTCCAACATCTTGGCCACTTTTTATTCACTACTACTTATTTTAGGAATAAAAATGAAATTTCACTGAAAACTATTGTTTTAAGAGCTGGTTTTATGAGTCATCAAGAACAAGAGAGATAAATAAAGAGATCATTTTAGTAAAACACTTCTCTTAAATTTGATCTTTCGTCTGCTAAGTGACAACATCAAGAGGAAAACCACACTGTTGTCTTTAGGTCATATATAGTTGTTCTTCAATCAAATTACGTACTTTGAAATAAATAACTCACTAATGCTGTTCTTGAAAAAATTAAAAATTATTTAATTAAGTAAATATTGCTAATATATACACATGAAAACTATTGATCGTTAATTCATCATCTGACAGCTGAGATATATCTATCTTGGTGTAATTTAAGAATATGTATTCCTACTCCTATACGTATCTTTCATCCAACGTCGCGCACACTTGCACAAGTAAATTACCTTAGTGTAATCTGACAAAATATTTTTTGAGCTTAAATTTCGTGTAAAGATTTAAAAATGACTCCTACATGCCATTTTTCGTATTCTTAAAAACTATATTTGTGCTTGAAAAAAATCTTAGAGATATAATTTACATGAATATAAAAAATATTTAAAAAGATTGAAGACTGCTTTCTTCGGAAGACGACAGACGACAGACGAACGATGACGACACATTTCTGACAGACTGACAGAGTTGACAGACTGACAGTGACGATACGTATCATATATACAGCTATACATATTGACTTTATAGGCTTTATACCGTGTATTTACTTTGGATTTTATCATTCTGGTAAAAAAAGCACCGAGCATGGTATAAGATGTACGTGAAGATATGCGTAGTAATTATAGTAATCACTACTAAGTAGTGCCATATAGTCGATTTTATTAAACCTTATAAGTAGAATATGTATACTTTTGGAGGTCGATTTTCGGGTAAGAAATATATTGTAAACTTGCCGCAAGTAGCATAAAAAATGTTAACTTTTTATTGTCTACCTGTAAAATTAGTTGCGGCTGGTTTATAATTAATTAAATAACTCCACTGTGAGTTGTAATAATTATTTGGATCAGTGCCATCTAGCGTTTCGGATTTCTGGACTAAAAAGTGGCCCTAAAATTCTGATCCAGAGCTTTAGCACCTGGAGCCCTTTAAACAATTATAAACCAGCCGCAACTTATGACGAAGCTATAAAATGAAAAAATAACAATACATGTGTTTTTGGCGGCAATTTAACAGTTTATCTTTTACTCAAAAATTTATCTTCAAAAGTATAAATACATAGGACGTCGATTTTTTGGTAAAAGATAGACTGTTAAATTGCCGCCAAAAACACATGTACTGTTAATTTTTTATTTTATTGCTACAAGATGAGTTGCGGCTGGTTTATAATTGTTTAAAGGGCTCCAAGTGCTAAAGCTCTGGATCAGAATTTTAGGGCCACTTTTTAGTCCAGAAATCCGAAACGCTAGATGGCGCTGATCCAAATAATTATTACTATATCAATAGTAGAGCCGTGCAATTAATTATAAACCAGCCGCAACTAATATTTCAGATACAAAATAAAAAGTTAACGTTATCTGTGCTGTTGGCGGCAAGTTTACAATCTATCTTTTACCCAAAAATCGAGCTCCAAAAGTATAAATACATGGGAGGCTGATTTTTGGGTAAAAGATAAATTGTATACTTGCAGCATTGACAGTGTTTAATTTTTATTTTGTATATATAGTTTTAGTTGCGGCTGGTTTATAATTGATTACATGGCTCTAGACCCCAAAGCTCTGATTCAGAATTTTTAGAATTCGTCTGCATTGCAACTTGTGTGTAGTGTGTACGCGCTTTCGTGCACTCGTATTACGCGTATGTATATATATGTACGTTTTTTTGTGCACTCATATTGTGCGTATAGGTATTATAGTACAACTGACAATGTGACAACAAACATAATTATCACAATCACACATGTCCCAAAGTTTTTCTCTCTTTATTTTTAGATAAGAAAGTTTCATTTTTTGTGAGAAGTAAAAACATGAAAAATCTCGTCCATTAAGAATAAGTCAACAAAAATGAGCAGACACAAATCGCCCTGGCAGAGTTGTAAAATTTAAAGCTTTTCTGACATCAAAAATATACATCGAAGAGGTCTTTACCGCCCTGTTGTTGTCTTGTTTATTTCCATGGACTCGAGGGAAAACGAGCAGAACCATACAATGACAAACGAGGGAATAGTCACCGAGAACGGAGAAGTCGACAGTGAAGTTAGTTTTTCATTTACTCTCAAAGTGTATTTTCATTCATAGTATATGAGCTGTAAATTAGCTGGTTTATTCACAATCAATTGAGTATGTGAGTACTCAGTATGTGATTTTTATTCTCATACAGGCTGGAGCTGCAAAAGACACGCCAGGCAAGCAAAAGCTGAGAAGTTGGCTGAACCGTTACCTCAAGATTAAAATGACGGACGGCCGGATATTGACTGGGGCGTTTTTATGCACGGATCGAGATGCAAATGTCATACTGGGTCTGTGCTCCGAGTATTTACCCGAGAACTCTGAGGCAAGGGCTTTGGGATTAGTGATGGTTCCAGGGCGACATATCGTGACGATACAATTGATGCCTAATGTCCAGCATTCCGCTGAATGATAATTTTTTTGTTACTATAGTGCAGCAGAGCGCTTTGGTTTTTCATTAAAAACTTTTATCAAATAAATTATGTACAAAAAAAAGTGTAAATAATAAATAAGATGTTTGAATGCTAGAGTCAATGGTGTTTATATTATCTAAGTATGGATCTGATAAAACGGATTCAGTCATCATCTAAATTATCCAAATCTATCAACTGTACATCTTGAGTGTCGGTGTCGTCTTCTGTGTCATTCTTTTTGTTAGCTTAAAAAATACAAGGCATTGTTATCAAGTTATCCACTCAAATGTGACAATAATCATCACTCAAATTTCCCTGCTTACCATTTTTTATGGCTTCCTCTTGTATCCTCACATACTCATGTTCCAACTCGGAGTTACTTTGTTTTTCAATTTGTACTTTGCGAAGAGCATCATCTATCCTTTGAGTCAGTGATGTTGATAAATTATCCATGCCTGCTAGGAAACTTATCTCGGATGCAGCCTCTGACATTTTGTGCACATATTCCATGTAAGCAATGAATTTCTACAATAGACAGTTTAAGTAAATATTCAAGGGCAATGTAAGATATCCAAGGTCTGTTAGTGTTTATTACTGTTAGTAATTTTTTCTTTTCATGTATTTGAGACCTGATTTCGAGAATCTCATCCCAATGTGCATCAGATACATCATGCATTATGGCTTCATTCATAAGGGAAATGAGTCGGTTTAACAATTTTCTACAAAAGATTAAATTAGTTTGAAATTTCTTGCTTACGGCCTGCAGACAAGTTCAACGTTTACCTGTATTCCCTACTAGTAGTTTCTATAGCGGTGTATGTCACAGTCAGAGTTTGAGAAGCACTATTTACAGCACTGACTGTTGATTGTTTGAACAAATAATCATAAGATAAGTTTGAAGCATTTGGCGTTTCAAAAATAAGTTTCTGATCATCATTTGGATTTTTCGGAGGATCTGGACTTATGAACACTGTTGTTGCATACTGTGCTTGAAAATATGACAAAACAAATTATTTTACCACGGCAAATACTCATCATGTATAAAAAACAATCTTACTATTACAACAGGATGAATGGGCCTTAAATTATTCAATAATTGTTTGAAAATATTTCGATAGGCCATGATTGTAGGCAAACTAATTTATAGTAAACATGAGAATTTAAATAACATTAAATTTAGAAATGACTCTTTAGTAGCTTGGATTTTTCTTTTTTTTTTTTTTACAATGCGGCAACATTTTGACAGGTTAAGCTAGGGTGAAAAGTCACGTGGTAGGTTTGTTGTGATTTAAAAATATATAAGTATGGAGATCATTTTACAAAAACGGTATAATTTTTATCGTGAGTCAAATTCCCAACCATTTCATTAATCAAGTTTTATAAGTATTAAGTCCAAGAATCCAAATGATTATACATAGATTGTGATAGATGTTCTTGTTTTTGACTGATTTCTGTTAGGTTAGTCAAGGTACATGCAAAACTAATGTACAAAATCGAAAGGGTTGAAATATCATTTACGTGATTTTATATTTTTTTGTTATAAATACCATTTATTTTATTCACTCCAAACCATAGCTTATTCATTGGAATAAAAAACTATTTGAAGCACACTTCTTATAAAATTTTTCATTCAAATGACAAACAAGTTTAACTTTAGCTACTTGCACAACGACATCATTATAAACTTAATGATTGAACTACAATTTTCCTATCTAAATTAATTGAAACTCCAGATTCATTTTTGTAAATCACGATAGTGTTTGGGTTAATCAATCAACAATGAATCTTTTATTAAATTTAATAAGTTCCAGTATGAAAATCTATGACAATGCACTTTTTTATCTTGCAAATCCATAGTTATTTTAGATGCCGTGATAATTTTCCCTGCCTGTAAATGACCATTACGCGATGTAAAATATCTCTAGTAAATGCTCTCCAACATCACACTGTAGAAGTCTCGTTGCCCAAACTTATGTTTATCTATCAAAACACGAATCTAAGTAGATGAAACTGGTGTTTGACTCTGTTCTTCAGATTTACCTAAATTTATATCAATTACCATTCTTTGTATTCATGTAAAACAAACATTGGTGTGCAGTAAAAATTATTGAAAGGCAATAATTGCTCAAAATTGAAAATCCTTACATAAATGCTCGATAAAAGAATGTGTGGGTAACATCAATGTGTGTACTGTGTATATACATAAACTATTATTACGTATAACAAAAAAAAAGAAAAAATAAATTCATTATTGCACAATTATGTAAATAGAAAAAATTTTTTCTTGATCTTCATCGTAAAATTAAAATGTGCTAGTGATACTTCACAATAAAATGTGCGTGATAAATTTCACTTATTACACGATGCTTTTTCACTCAATGAACGCACTCGCAATTTCATCTCGCACAAAAATAAAACGACGAATCGATCGACAATAATCGCGATCGTCCATTTTTTGTTTTTTTCCTTAAAAAAAATTCACATCTGTTTTATTTTGTCATCAACATGTGGTGTGTTCAAAGTTCTGAGTGCTTATCTTTAGAGGTAGCACTTTCAGGTTTCGTTGGCTCCTCGTCACTAGCTCCTGGTAGCTCTAGAGTCTCTTCCTGCTTCATCGTTTCAGCTTCTTCGTTTTTGGATTCAGCCTCTTTTTCACTTTTATCAGATTTCTTATCATCCTTTGACTCCTTGTCGTTGGACTTTTCCTCTTCAACATTTTGGGTGGTGTTGCTCGCACTTTTCACTGGATCAACTTTCGGTCGCCAGATTTTCGCTTTGTTGACGAGGTATTTCACTTCACGGTCGAGCATTGCCATCTTGTTAGCAATGTCGCGAACTTTGTATGGGACGGGCAGGTGCAGTTTTGTTTCGGACGTCTTTGTCACTACCGTATCATAGAATTCCTAATAATTTACAAAATTTCATTACTATTTCATAATCGCCATTTTTAACATACCTAACAAAAACTGCGCTGTTATTATGAAAATACCTGTGTTTCATTGATGGCTGTCTCCAAAGTTTTAATCTCAACCTCAGTGAAAATCTCTTGAGATATGTTGAGACTTTGCATGTTGGTCAAAAAATTTCTGCTGCCATTCAGCATCGATGCCATTCCCTTTAGGGCTTCCGGTCGTTCTTTGTGCTCGAACACTCGCTCATAAAGATCGTTTGTCAATTGCTGTAAACTTTTGAGCTTTTCCATGTACGTTTCCGAGGAGGCGTCAAAGCCTTCATCTTCCAACCACTCGGAAATGCTATTACACATCTTTAAGATGTTTTCGGACTCTTCTGGTGTCGTTGCAGCCTTGTAATCATCGGTTTCAAGATTTTGACGTGCGTTGAAGATAGCTGTTTCCAAACTGTTGAGGGCATTTTCGCGCTCAGCTTTTTGCTGGTCGTACAAATCAAGAGCCTTGAGTCTAGAATAAATATAGCCATCATTCAAGTGTTCAATAATGCAAAAGAGAAAGACCAAAAATTTAAGTCTTACTTTTCCTTCGAAACTGAGAATTGCTCGTCCGACAAAATTAGTGGTCCTAGCTTTTCAACTTTGGACTCAATAGGCTCCTTTAGAAGAACAGTAGTAGGTTTCTTTGATGCCTTTTCCGTTTTATTATCGGCTTTTTCATCAATAGGCTTCGTTTCATTGGCCTTTGCTTGTTCTTCAGCCTCTTTCTTTAGACCAGGATAATCGGGTTCCTCATGAATAGGCTTGACATCGTCTTTAGGGGTGTCCTCAGTTTTCTCGGCAGTTTCTTTTTTCTCAGTCTCATCGGATCCTGAAACATCAAGAAATCATTGGAAGTCTCTGGAAAATATTGTTATATTTTTTTTGTTCGAAATTTCAATTGACACACAGCTTAAATTCGTTCTATTGATAAGAAGGTGCTGAGAAAAAAGCCAAGCAACTCGTGATGATTGTGAGTGATTCGTTATAAAAAGACCCATGATTGTGATTCACATTACAACAAAAAGATTAAAATTTCTTTGTATAAAAACTTTTTCTCTAAGATTTTTTTTTTT